GTTTATAACAACAAAAGCACATGCATGATATTGAGAATACGTAGTTGCAACGTTCTAGTTAATGACCCGTCATAAACAGTTGGTCGCTGCGTAGTAATTGGAAAATTGTTATCAAAAATAATAAAGAATATTTGCCACTGAATTAAAGCATTTACTTATGAATTTTCATTTATGCTTTTTGTTAAAAAATATGGATAAAGTTATTATTTTGAAGGGTTTTCATACCAGAACTATTTAATACAGACGTACGTAATATGCCTAAACCTGATTACCGCGGCAGTATGACATCACGGAGTAGTGATTTAAACAAAAATCAAGAATTTTTCAGAGAATTATTATCTTTACAAATTGCAGATATGAAATTAAAGAATGAAAATATTTTCATATTGTAAATGTCTGTGATGAGTGATGAGTCAGCTTAGAAAAAATCAAGGTACTATTTTTTGACCTGATTACCGTGGCAGTATGACGTCACGGAGTAGTGATTTAAACAAAAATCAAGAATTTTTCAGAGAATTATTATCTTTACAAATTGCAGATATGAAATTAAAGAATGAAAATATTTTCATATTGTAAATGTCTGTGATGAGTGATGAGTCAGCTTAGAAAAAATCAAGGTACTATTTTTTGACCTGATTACCGCGGCAGTAAGATTTGACAGACAGTTATTAACATTGGGTCGGCATAGCCTCCCCAAAAAATCACATTTTCCGGCGTTACCGCGAAAGGTAATTCACGTATATCGGTGTTATCTTATTAAAACGACTTGATCAGCTTATTTCAATTTTCAATATCACCAGAAGTTTAAGTAAATGTCACTTGCCTACCTTAAATTGAAATTATACCGTATATATGCATTGTTGTATTTATAAGAGTCGACAAAAAGCCAAAATCTCCTCAAAACGGTACGTGGTCAAAGTCATCATTTTCACGAATGGTCTTGAAAAGTAAACAATTTCGTGGAAATAATCTTGATGAGGGATAAAGAGGAATGTCTTTGCAGCCGTAAGCAGCTATTCACATCTCATGACCATATATTCTTATAAACTTTTCAATGGTTTATTGGTTTTTACCAGAATTGTACCTATATTAATGAATGGGCGGACTTCATAAATTACTTTGGTAGGCATGCTAGAGATTAGAATATTAAATATTTTTTCCACAGGAACTTGAAATTCTATTAATATTAACGGTAATATCCAAAATAGATACAGGTCTATATATATAATATCCAAAATATACCCCCATTATGGTATAAGATTATTATACTATATAGGGAGTATTTTTGGATATTATCATTAATAGTGGTTATTTGATAGAATTTCACGTTCATGTGGTATTTTCTTTGGAACATACAAAATAGTACTCAAAATGAAAAAAAAAAAATTCATTTATTGGGAGGTCAATCTACTATTTTAATAAATTACTTTATAAAAACCTTGTCTGACTCACCAGTGTGTTTACATTCCTATCAATAAACCCATAACTCATGTTAAAATTGCTGACAAAACTTCTATTGTAACAATATTGGCATATCAACATTCCACTCAAACTACCATAAAATCGATGGCCTTCAAACAAAATTCATAACGATTTGAAGATCAAATATGTTTTTTAGTATAACTGCTAGACTGTCGCGCAACGTCAAAATAAAAGCGACTTACTATTTTATAGAAAAAAAAAAACAACCTCAGATCCTCCTGTGCGCTTCGGAGTTCGCGTCATTCAAGGACATCTTGCGTACATGTTTTCCACACATACGTGTAGCGGAATAATTTCATATTTCATGAATTATTACCTTTACTTCTAAAAAGAGTTTGAAAGGGGTCATAAGGCTATTTTTTATTATGGTGGTATGGTGGTATGGTGGTAGTGATGGGTTTGGTGGTTATATTGATGGTGCTGATGATAGTGGTGGTGGTTTTGATGCTGATAACGGTAGTTACAGGTGTGGATGATGATATTGGTGGTGGTTCTGTTGGGGTGATGATGGTGTTGATATTTCAAATTAAAGGAAATGTATTATAATAAAAGTGGGGTGTCAGCAGAGTTTATTGTATTTGTACAAAGCTTGAAAAGTCATATTGGACTTGCCTATTGGCTTGTTCAAGATTATTTCTCAAGCTGTGTACTCGTCCAAATATATTCCAGTTTTGTACAGTAAAATGTATGATAACCTATAAGAATAAATATATATAAGAATTAACCAGCACCATGTGTTACCTATTCAGGTGATATCATGATGTTTTACCGTTATTTATAATTAGATCGTTGCTTTAAAAAAAAGTTCAAATATGCTGTTTTTCACCTTGACAATATATTTAAAAAAATTGACAATTATAAAAGCCATTGAAAAATATTTGATTATGAAAAAATGTCAAGGATAAAAATATTGTAATTTGCCTAAAATATATAAGGCCTGTCTCACTCTTTTTATCAACGGAACATTAACGATTTATTCTGAAGGATATCTATAGAATTTATTGTGATTGATGTGGGTTATTGGTTATTCACTTAGACTATTATTATCTATATCCTATTATGGAAAAATCTCAAGTTGTAAAATTTGACCTTGACCTTTTCATCCACCATTCATACTTGGAAGGGCACAATGTCACTTAAAGTTATATTTTACTATGGTCCCTTTATGTAATTTCATAAAATTGTGATCTATATAATGAGCGTGCACGGCGTAGTGTTGCCACACGGACTTTGAAGAAAAGTTTGTCCCTTCAATCAGAACGTCAGTTTGTCGCATTCTTATCTCGCCAGATGTGTCAATTATATTGTTTAAGCCTACGTAAAATCCAGGTACTCGGAGTAAAACTGGACTTACTGATTGACGAAGATCGAACCATAAGTCCAGATACGGACCTGACGCTATGCTGACTATGGTAGACTGGACATTGCAGAATCACGCTAATCGGACTCCTGCCTTGTCGATATTTTTATAGCAAACTATTTACAATGATATAATGGACAAGTACCTTATAATAGTACCTAAACTACCATTTTACACAATCGGTATGCATTAGTACTATAGGGTATTCTAATTACATACCAGTTTTTTGGGGTTTTTTTTTTTTTTTTGGTACCAGTACTTGTCAACTGATGCGTTATCAGTACAAATACCATATTGTACCAGTATTTTTATCTTGGAAGAAATTAAGTACCAGTACTGTTATTTTTCAAATAATGATAGTAAAATATTGTGCATACAGACTGTCACAAATTACCACAACATAGCTAGTGTTCTTAGTATAAAAATGACTATGATGATATATGTGATAAAAAATACTCTTTCAATCTTTTATGAAAACCAAGTGTCCCTTTTTATTGCAGTACCGGTCACACATTTTGAGACAGCATTTCAATCCAAGTACAAATAGCTGCAAGTTTTCTGTGCGAGTAATATAGAACCTGGGACATAATCTATCTTATGTCCCAGATAGAACTCACAAAATAAATGTGCTGTATGTTCTGCAGTACCAGTAATGCATATCTGTACATAACTAAAATATCAGTCGCTTAACTTTTGCTGAATATTTTCTTCAAAATTATAAGGTTACTTTGAATTATAGCATAGTGAATAACTAACAAAGAAACAATTAATTTTTCTATATCTTATATTGCAGAACCGTTACGATATTTGTTATTTTATGTGCCACTTCATGACAGGACAGAATGAAAAGATTGAGTATATGCAAGTACCAGGTACTGATTCAAGAACACATATATTGTTTCAGCAGGTAAGGCTTTCCCATATTTAAAAATAATTTTAATTTTCTTTTTAGGACATGCGCTGTCTTAAGTTGATTTGGGATTTACACATCTTAAGATTGAATTCCGCAGGAGTGATGTAGACACACTACAACAGCTGGCCGATGTTACAGAGAAGTCATCTACAACCAACAGCGCTGTATGTTACCCTCAGTATCGAAACATGAGGCTATCTGATTTGTACGAGGGGGTTTAGGCCTCGAGTATAAATCAGATTTGTATGATGGTAGTTTATGAGCATTGTCATACATGATGAGAGTGTAACAAACAACAATTATTTTAAGTTTAAAGATACCTTTTATAGTCACAAAACAATAACAATTTTCAAATATAGCATTAACATGTATAGTAACAAAGATGAAAATTAAAAAAAATAAATATATATATATATATATATAATGTAGCTATTGATAATGAATGTTTATTTTGAATTAAATTCATGAAGTAAAAAGAAAGTTAAGGAATGAATAATAAAAATTCAAAGTTTAAGGAGGAGATAATTTCTGGAAATATGAATTCTAGATTTATAAACCTTGTCATATTATTATGATGTTGGAATATGAAGTAAATCCTATAAGAAATGAAGAAGATTGAGTAAAAAATACCAATTTCTCAAAAAGAATCTAAGTTCAAGCCTCAAGGGGGACATAATTCTGGAAATAATCTTGCTAGAGTATTGAACCTTCTCACAAATGTTGAGTGATAATAACAAACATATATATAAAGTTTGATGTAGATACATTTAAATAAGAAATAAAGAAGCTATTTAAAAAACAACATTTTTTTCTTAAAAATTCTAAGTTCAAGGGAGGTAATTCTGATCATTTTTGTGCTAGAGTTGTAAACCTTGTCACATATGATGTGGTTGATGACCAGAAACTTATATTAAAGTTTGGAGTAAATACCTTAAGAAATAAAGATCTTACAGTTAAAAAGTGTAAAAACAAGAATCAGAAATCTTGAAATTCAGTCTATTTGTTGCCATAGCAACCAGAATTTTCAACACAAGAAGAAACAAAAAAAGATGTGCATAATCTTCAGACTGTCATCTACCCATATTTCAAGTTTCATAAAAATATTTTCAGCACCTTTGGCGTTATCACTGAATCCAGTTTATGTGTTAAATTTGCCATATTTTCAATCTATTTATTGCCATAGCAACCAGAATTTTCAACACAGGAAGAAAAGAACAAGAGCACCGCTAGGCGGAGCATTATATGCCCGAAAGTGATTTTTTTTTTTTAGTAAAGATGAAGCATTTGTAAGACATGGGAATTAAATAAAGTATTACCTCCTTCACAAAACAATCCTCCTTTGAAGTTTCAATATTGTGGTCCAAATGGAACTTAAGTTATGCCCCGGAAACTGTTTTCAGTTCTAAGGTAATAGTGACCTTGACCTTTGACCTTGTGACCCCAAAATCAATAGGGGTCTTCTACCCAATATGGACAATCATACTATGAAGTTTAAACACAGTGGGCCAAATGAAACTTAAGTCATGTTTCGACAACTGTTTTCAGTTTTAAAGTCATAGTGACCTTGACCTTTGACCTTGTGACCCCAAAATCAATAGGAGTCTTCTACCTACTATGGACAATCATCCTATGAAGTTTGAATATTGTGGAACTTAAGTTATGCTAAAGAAACTGTTTTCAATTTCTAAGTAATAGTGACCTTGACCTTTGACCTTGTGACCCCAAAATCAATAGGGGTCTTCAATCCAATATGGACAATCATCCTATGAAGTTTGAACACTGTGGGCCAAATGGAACTTAAGTTATCCTCCGAAAACTGTTTTCAGTTTTTAAGTCATAGTGACCTTGACCTTTGACCTTGTGACCCAAAAATCAATAGGGGTCTTCTACCCAATATGGACAATCATCCTATGAAGTTTGAACACTGTAGGCCAAATGGAACTTAAGTTATGCGCCGGAAACTGTTTTCAGTTTTAAGGTCATAGTGACCTTTACCTTTGACCTTGTGACCCCAAAATCAATAGGGGTCTTCTACCCAATATGGACAATCATACTATGAAGTTTAAACACAGTGGGCCAAATGAAACTTAAGTCATGTTTCGACAACTGTTTTCAGTTTTAAAGTCATAGTGACCTTGACCTTTGACCTTGTGACCCCAAAATCAATAGGAGTCTTCTACCTACTATGGACAATCATCCTATGAAGTTTGAATATTGTGGAACTTAAGTTATGCTCCGGAAACTGTTTTCAATTTCTAAGTAATAGTGACCTTGACCTTTGACCTTGTGACCCCAAAATCAATAGGGGTCTTCAACCCAATATGGACAATCATCCTATGAAGTTTGAACACTGTGGGCCAAATGGAACTTAAGTTATCCTCCGAAAACTGTTTTCAGTTTTAAAGTCATAGTGACCTTGACCTTTGACCTTGTGACCCAAAAATCAATAGGGGTCTTCTACCCAATATGGACAATCATCCTATGAAGTTTGAACACTGTAGGCCAAATGGAACTTAAGTTATGCTCCGGAAACTGTTTTCAGTTTTAAGGTCATAGTGACCTTTACCTTTGACCTTGTGACCCCAAAATCAATAGGGGTCTTCTACCTAATATTGACAATCATCCTATGAAGTTTGAACACGGTGGGCCAAATGGAACTTAAGTTATGCTCCGGAAACTGCTTTCAGTTTTAAGGTCATAGTGACCTTGACCTTTGACCTTGTGACCCCAAAATCAATAGGGGTCTTCTACCCAATATGGACAATCATCCTATGAAGTTTGAACACGGTGGGCCAAATGGAACTTAAGTTATGCTCCGGAAACTGTTTTCAGTTTTAAGGTCATAGTGACCTTGACCTTTGACCTTGTGACCCCAAAATCAATAGGGGTCTTCTACCCGATATGGACAATCATCCTATGAAGTTTGAATACTGTGGGCCAAATGGAACTTAAGTTATGCTCGGGAAACCAAATTGCTAACGTACGGACGGACGGACGCAAGGGGGTATAACATAATATGCCCGAAATTCTTTCGGGCATATAAAAAGACATAAAAAATGCATAATTTCCATACTGCCATTAATCCATATATCAAGTTTCATAAAAATATTTTCAGTAACTTTCTGAGTTATCGCGGGATCCAGTTTTGTGGACAGACGAACTGACAGACAGACGGAGGATAAACTTAAAGTCCCCTCAAGTTAAACCGGTAGGGGACAAATAAACTTATGTGCTGGTCTTATTTATGAACATTTGATAGCTATAAATTATGGCAAAATTGGTGAGATGATCCAAACTTGTAGATGCTGATTACCAACATGTCACATTAATGCAGACGTAAACGTAATAGCTATAAATTATGGCAAAATTGGTGAGATGTTCCAAACTTGTAGATGCTGATGACCGACATGTCACATTAATGCAGACGTAAACACATGATACCATCTCGCCCATCTCTCAGATAAACATGCCATCCTGCTTGCGACTGTCCTTCACCTTCATTCTCTGTATTACCATGGAGATATACAGGAAAGAATGACCTTGGACCATGACTCAGGCACAACAACACACCATGAAGGAGGCCGTCGAAATCAAAGTAAAACACGTGCTCCCGATAATACTCATCTGAATCATCATTATGCTGGGTTAACGAAATCAGCATACCAACTGTAAATAGAGAACACATAATAGCTGATATCTGCTGTAAATAATCCTTTGATAATTAAAATACTTAAATTGATAATGGACTGTTCAACAATGGAAATTAAGAAATTCAGCAGGTTATGGGTTTTTATATATCATTTTTTGTAAAAATTTATTTTACTTGATCTTTTTCTGATTCACAATCTATCGATCTTATTGAGCCTAGAACTAAATTATAGATTTAATTTTTCTAGGTCAATAAATAATTTAACTTTCATCATTCTGGGTCTAATACTTATGCAGTATTCAACTCCATTGGTTTAGTACCTATTTCTAAGAAATTTTTATATGTTAGAAAATTTTTCTATCTATAATTCAAATTTTCTAAATGGATTAAATTCTCTACTTACTCTGTTTGCCAACCAAGCAAGCTTCCTTTGGTAGACCTGGCAAATCCACAGAAAATATCATCTCTAGGCGAAATGTGTCTTCATGTTGAGTAGTCATTTCTAGAATAAACACTTTATTTTGTACACCAAGTACTATACGATACACAGGCCTTTGATCGTCCATGAATGCTTTTTCTGTTAGGATCTCAATATTTTCAAAATCCCCTTTCATAGCATTATTATCCTTGGTAAATTCAAAATGCTTCCCACTGAAAAAGTTATAAATCATGTTGTTGTAGCGTTATTTGTCTGCTCAATCTAATATAACATAAAGGATATAACACTAGGGCTAAAAGACATCAAAATTAGTATAATCATTAATAATACAGTATTCATATCAATATGATATTTCAATATTTTGCAATAGTATGAATTTGCTACATATTTCTAAATCAATATACATGAACACACATATTTGCAAAAAACAACCATAGTCTTGGTAAGAAGATCATTGGTTCACTGTCAATAAGCACTTTAATTTCATTATGATAGCTACTCCTATTAAACGTGGCCAAGTTGTTAACACCTTGGACTAGTATAATCCAAGAATTGCTGAACATGTGGCTTCAAACCCTGTCAGGGGCAATCCGTTGTTTCCTTGAGCAAGAAACTTTACATTCATTGCTTAGTACTGGATGGTTCCAGAAATGTGTTAAAGCAGTTCTTGAAAATCACAAAATTCTACCCTGTAAGGAAAATTAGTGACATTCTTGGTTTGAAATGGACTGTGGTACAATTGAAATACATGAAACTAGAAAGTCAATTTAGTGAAGATAATACCCTGGTACTTCAGAGGAAAAAACATGATCACTTCCCTATGCAATGAGTATGGAATCCACTCTTTTATGTCTAAGGTATATAATGTGAAGTCAAAAAGTTCCCAGACCAGGAAGTTGATATCTTCTTTTTCAATGAAACTTTGCATATTGACAATACTTGTCCATCTGCATTATTTAATTCATGGATTTATTCTAACAAAAGTGCTACTAAAATGTCAAAAGATCAAATCTTTGCACGGTAGGGAATCACGTGACTTTTACGGTTACGCGTACAGACAATATGGCGGCCTAAAAACCTCGCTTCACATGTGTTTTCAGGTAATTCTTTATTTTATCCCTTTTACTTACATAACGAGACCTGTTGCAGCCTACGCAGAATAAAGAATTGTTGCCGCCTATATACCTTATCTTTTCCAACCCCTGTGCTCATAGAGCTTTTACAAACACTCAAAAATTCAACAGAAATTTCAATGTAAACCAATTATATTTCGGGTAACATTCACGCAAAATTTGTCATTTTTTATGAATTTTGATTAAACTACGTCGAGTTAGCAATGAGAAAAATGATTCATGAGAATTTCTTTATTTGAAAATGTAAATATTAAGGCATGTTAAATGTTGACAGGTCATTTTCTATTCCATTACACGAGAGAAAAATGATTTTGGTAACTCCCACGCATACTTTTATTGTTGATAACTCCCACGCAATATTTTATGTGCAGGCAATATCTATGCAGGTTATAGCCTAGATATTGATTGAAAAAAATTATGATTGATGCATTTAGCATCAAACTTTCATAGAATTTTGAATAATATTAAAAATACCGCCAATAGGTCCTTGATAGAAGTAACCCAGCAGGCACATCAACGGTGAACAACGTTGAAGTATGATCAGATTTCAACGTTGAAATAACGTTAGATTTATGTTCGAATTTGAAAGTTTAAAACACGTTGAAGTTCAACGTTGGCACAACGTTGAAGTTTCAATGTCATTTCAACATACTTTAATATAAAGCAAAGTACTGTACGTAACAGAGTTTAACAAAAAAATCAAGACACTATTAAATACTTCAGCTATTTCATTTCAAAACTACAGTTCAAGTGTAGCTAAAATTCAAACGATTTAAGAAGTCCTTTTAGTTTAACAATTAAGCTACAATCTGTTCCAATCTACCACTAGTTCTTCTTCTAGAGCTCTCTTGGTATGTCTAAAGTGTGTCATGATGGTTTTTGAATACTTCTACTGCTCTCTGCAAATAAAATAAGAAGTTACATGTTAAAATTGACTTGGTCAATCTCAAATTATATATAATTAATCAACTTAGTGATTTGTTTTATCTTAAAATGCTTATCTTCTAAGATTTACATTTTAAAAACAGCATATAGAAATTAAGATACAGCTGAAGTTTCATATTGACAGTAAATTATGTACAAAAACAACAAAAACTTTTTAAAAAGAAGCTATTTAACCCTTAACCTCATATATATACGCGAAACAACGCACTTTCGACCCCCCCCCCTTTTTTAGGCCTGAAATAGTGAGAAAATGTCCTATTTTTCCCCAAACACATGTTTTCGTTTGAGAAATGTTGTTAAAAAAAAGTGAGCACTTTTTCGGCGCCGCCCCCAGTCCAAAAGATACTTCAGGGGGTTGCCAGAAGGGGGATGTGCCCCCTTCTTTTTTTTGGGGGGGGGGGGGGGGGGTTGAAGGGGGGCGGAGTCCCCTCATCGCAAAGAAAATTTTGGACTTGTGAGAGGCTTTAAATGACCCCAGGTCGATTATAAGGTAAGGTGTAACCAACGCTGAAAAGCCTTTGACTCTATCTCAATCCCTTGAGAAGTTGCAGCACTTTGAAGTAAATTTTGATTGAAAAAATCGAGGCAAAATAGTGATTTTTGGCAATTTTGAGATGTCCCCTCGTTGCCATGGTAACAGGAAATTTAACTTGAAAGTAAAAATGGCCATTTTTCACAATATGCTCATGGGTGAAAGGGTTATCTTAAAAAATTATAAATGTTACAAAACAACAATTTTTCACCAAAATTAGGTAAAAGACCACATGTTAACATGTAAAAACTAGATTTTGGGTGATTCAAAAGTTTTTCATCATTTTTTGTTAGCCCTTTACCCCTCGTTGCCATGGTAACAGGAAATTAAAGACTGAGCATGTCGTTACAAAAGCAATGGTACAGTCAACATTTGTGCCAAGTTTGATTAGTATTGAAGCATTTTTCATAGTTTCATAGCAGTTTGAACTTGTAAGAGGAGGCTTTTCAGTGAAAATGGCCATTTTTCACAATATGCTTACGGGGGAAAGGGTTAAGTCTGACCTATGATTGGTAAGAAAAACTGCTCCCATCAGTTACGTCAGCATTTTCCCAAGAACAGTCCTTTCCATGTTAAATTTATGGTATAGAAGCTACAGCTGTAATACTTTAAATTTCAGCCAGGACCAGGATCTAGAATATAAAATAAACTTATTATTTCCTATATATTCACGGCAATTAAACTTAAAATTTAACACTCAACTTTATTATTTAACCACAAACAGTTTAATCAATATTTATTTTGAAAATGCAATGGATTTAATGTATTTTTCAAACTAATTCACATTTAATTTTACTATCACTAAGATATAAAATTAATACAGCTAAATTGACGAATCGTCTTGGGGCGTAAATTATATGGGGCGAACAACACTTCATCTGCTTATAGGTTACAATAATATGATAAATAAATTTCAAAAAGGCATGGCTTGTAAAATCATAAATTGCCAAGGACATCAATAACTTCGCGTAAGGCCTAACCAAACCCAAAAACATTCAAATTAGGTCGCGTTTTGATACAAAAGTCTAAAATATTAGAAGGAGGTTTTGTATTTCTGTTTTTATTAGTAAAATTACAGTTGTCATTTTTCATATTTTGCAGATATGGAAGGTTCCATCTCGGATATTGTTTGTGATAAATGTGGGACTAAGACTAAGTGATAAAATGACTTGAATGTCTTTAAAATCTTAATATGGAACGAACTGATAGCAAATGCCTATATCCTGTCACGGTTTTCGATTTGTCAACATAGACATTATTCACAAAGTCCTTGTGCCGAGTAAGGACCATAGTTTTGGATGGTGGTCATTAAGACAAATGTTGCCCAACTATTTATCCACAAACAATACGGCAAACTGGAACCGGCGCCATGGGTCTTGCAGAAAGCTATGAAAAATGACAAGCTGGTAATTGTGTCTTAGATGGCTGAAATCAAGACCTCCTATCTTATATTGTGAAGATTTGTTATTTTAATGTTCCTGCGATTATTCAAGTGGCTATAAAATCGTACTCTCGTTGGAGATATATTCAGCTCGTGGCGGTATGTATTCTGCTTATCGCATGGTAATAACTATCCGGGAACTTATTGGGGTATCTGTGTAATATTATTCAAAAATTGCTTTGAATCGCGAGTTTAAGGCTAAATGCATTCAATCATGATTTTGTTCAATTCAAGTATCTAGGGCTAATCTGCAGTAGATTATTTTCGCTGCACCATAAGAATAGGTTTGGGCAGTGGGTTATCAACGAATAAGAATATGGCGTGGGAGTTACCCAAATCATTATATCCTCTGTTGCGCGATGTGGTTGATGGAATGAAACATGATCCAGGTCAACAGTTTAAGCATGCCTAATATTTACATTTTAATATAAGTGAACATTACTATGAACATGTTTCTCATTGCTAACTCGAAGCGTAGTTAATCAAATCTCATATAAGAAATACCAAGATTTACTGCGTAATGTGTACCGAATATAATTGTTCACATTGAAATTTCTGATGGAATATTTTAGAGTGTCTTGGTAAAAGTCTATGAGCTCACGAGGACGTGAGAAACTAAGGTATTACGGTCGGACAAACACAAATTCCTTATTTGCGAGAGGTATGTCAACAGGTCTGCGTATGGAGGTAAAGTAATGGGATATAAACATAAGAGTGATTGGACGATTAAAAAACAATGTGAACGGAGGGTGTGTTTTTAGGGCGGACGGCGCAGAATAGATCTGAATGGACCTATTGGTTGTTAGGGGGCGGTAACCCGGTAAAAGGTCACGTGAATTGCCTATCCGTGGTCTTGAAATCGACTGGACTCATGGCGAAACACACACAAGCAACGATCAATAACACTGTGGGAGTATTGAGTACCAAAGACTTAGGAGTAAAAGGTTTTCCCAGGACAAGTTAAGATGTTTCAGAGAATATGAACATAAGCTAGCGTCACAGTACAAAACGCAAAGCGATAGTGTCGCGTTTGGAGCAGCTATGGACCGGCAGATCAGTTTGCTGAGTAATGCAACAGTCTGATAAAGAATCCAGGCTGTTATTAGCGTACCCCAGATGCCTATTGACAGTAGAGGAAACTCGAGATAGCAAACAATGCAGTTGATCCTGATCATAGCTGAGCGGCAGTATGCTGGTCTGGTGTTCCATGACTGTTTCGCAAACGCCACTATGGTTGGTATGTCAATAGCGGCATTCAAGGTATTCTCTGTGTGTATATAAAACATGTTTATTTTTCATTTTAAACGAGAATGAATAGTAATCAACATTTTTTTCAAATATCAAAATTTATTTTGAGCATAATTTATTTTTAACCTACATGTATGTTGATTGTTCCATCTACTTGATATTGTATTACTTTAATTAATCTTTTAGTAAATAAATATATAGAGGAAAATATTCATATTGGCAAAAGTCAGCTGTTTTTTTTTTTGCTGATTGTACTTCATAGATTTAAACAAAAGAAAGAGGAAAGTGTTTTGTTTTTTCCATAACAGTATCAATCTTTCAATATTTATTGCAAAATATGTATTAAGTTAAAAGAATAAGAACAAAGTTTAACATGGTGACTTTCACTGAACACTTCCCAGCCACACCATCAAGACACCTAGATGGGCATCAAAACAAAAGATGGGGAAAGGGTACAAGAGCAGATATAGGAGGAAGCGTTCCGTAAAATGACTCCATTGAGGTTTTTTGACACTGGTAACAATATTTCGAGATTGATGTTCCATTTTATGAAAGGGTAGAACAATAACTTGTGTGCAAAATTTAAAAATCATCACATTACTCTGTTTTACCAAAATAATCATTTTATTGTGAAAAATGACTGAAAATTGAAAAGTGTTGCATGTACTATAATCAGGCTTAGAATAACGCAAAAATAAGATTAAAGGGACTCCACTGAGTTTTTTTTTACATGATTGGACTGAAAATATTTTATCCAAATAAATGTACCATTTGATGTAGGTTTAGACCACTAATCTTTGTGTCAAATTTCAAATCATTTGCGCACTTCGTTTTTACCAGAATAATTATTCAAATTGTAAAAAATGACCCAAAATGAAAAGCGTTTAAACGCTTTTCACTCAAATCGGACTAAGGAAAGCATAAAAATACGATTTTCAATTTATTTCAAAGTATATTTCTTAACTAATTCTTTGTATATATTTCTCTTTAAAGTGCCCCAGCTCATTTAAGTAAGAAATTCAAATGTTATGTTTTTAGGCTTTTAAACCTCAATGGAGTCCCTTTAACAATATTTTTCGTATATATCTTATCTATCTTTAGCATAAGGTTAAATGTTAAGTGCCCCATCTGATTTATGTTAGGAATTTATATTTCATGTTTTAAGCTTTTAAATCTCAGTGGAGTTCCTTCAAAGTAGTTTATTTAACCAGTTTTTTTTTATCACATACAGGCAACAGAACTTTGTAACATAGCAATATCCATATGTACTTATATCTCTTCCAGTCCCAAATCAGTACATGTATTAGAAAATGCTCTAAATTTGATGCAGCCCATTAGTATATTCTAATGTATTTCAGTACAATGGTATTAATGCTAGTTAGGTTTAAATATATATACTGCTTTAGCTTGTGATGAAAGCAGAAACTTATCTAAACCACCCTGAGACTAACCAGTACTGGTGTCACATGACATCCTTTAATGCTATAAACCTATAATCCCTAGTTTAAGAAGAGGGCATCTAAACCACAAGGGCACGGCTCGCCTTGCTTCTAATATTGAATAGCAACCAAATGCACACAGCATCCAATCATCAATGCATGCATTTCAAAAAGGTAAGACAGGACAGCACAAAAATTCTAAATTTTTAACTTTACAAAATTAATGGTGTAAGAAATTGAATAACATAATAGTTTAAATGTAATTGGCTGTTAATGTTACATCAAAGTATATTAAAAAACTCTAATACATGCTCTTAACTATTCATCTTTTTCTTACAGATTTTGATCAGCCAGAACTCCACAATCTCTCATAAAAATTATGAATTAATCAGTACATACAAAGTATATCTAATTAAATACTCACCATCCCTCTTTCACTGTTACTGGAACATATTCCAATGTGTTAGGATTGATAAACGCTAGCCCATAATGAAGGTTTGCCATTAAAAGTTTGCCTGTAGAATTGATTCTCTTCCCAATATAGGTCAACTGTTTTACATAGGGACTACGACCCGAGCCATCAGAGAGTTCATCATATACAGATCCAATGGTCCAGCAAATTTTGTTTTCAATATCTGTGATGTCTCCCTCTAGACCAATTACTGTACACCAAAAACTGTAAGTTTAACAAAGGGATATGATTTATCATAAAATGATTATCTTAAGTATAATAGCTCACAATGATTGCCTGAGAATTGTCCTCACAATATTACATGTCTTAAATTTTATGATATTATTTACCATTTTGTAAATGCTCAGTATTACCAAATTTTACTTGCCACTACACAAGAGCTCAATGTTAACTATTTCCATGCACCAATATGTAAGAGCTCAATATGATATAGTAATGTACCAGTATCAAAATGTTCAATGTTAACTATTTTTATGAACCACTATGGTGGTGTTATTGGTAGTTTAACATCCCGATTATGGCGGAAAGCCACTTTAATTTCACCAGAGCAAAGTTCTGCTACAGCATTATTCCTGGGCAGGTTGTCAAACAGTTAACTAGAACAAGTTGCCTTCACTCTCCTGAGTAACAGATAACTTTTGTACATGCCAGAGCAAAGATTCAGTGTGAATGACAGTAGACCAGATTAAACGAAAGTGACCTACACAGTCCAGCAATCGAACCCCAGTCACCCCATTCTCAGTCCAATACTCTACCTATTGAACTAACCAGACAGTTTATGTACCACTACACAAGAACTCAACTTTATATATCTTTATGTACCACTAATAAAGACCTCAGTATTATCAAATTTTAAAATTTCTATATAAGAGGTTAATGAAACTATTGTATCTATTTTTACATGAGCTTAATGTGTCCCTTTTTTACTTTCCACTTAAAAACAACTCAAAATTACTTACATTATAGTTGTAACACTATCTGAGAGCTCAATACTCATCTACAAAGCACCACATAAGAGCTGAACATTAACTACATGTATTTTATAAAACGACATCTCAGTAAAGATTCAATGTAATGTCATAACCATAACATTACTGTTAAACACAAGAGTCCGGTTTGAGCTGGGTGATGCTCCCCAAATAGGTTTTGGACACAGGAAAGTACACCTCTGGTAGTTATGTCACTGGAAAATGTTCAAAGTGCAATAATTCCAAAATTAGGCAAGGCAGACTTACTGTTCTTTGAACTGCACTTCTAATCAATGTGATCTATCAACCTACAAAGTTTCTTGATGATATCTCTTATGATTTCCGAGTTATGTCTCGGACAACTTCAAAAAGTAAAAATAAACAAAGGGCAATAACTCCAGAATTAGGCAAGGCAGAGTTATGATTCTTGTGCACTGCACATCTACCCATTAAGATACATCTACCTACAATGTTTCATGTTGATATATCTTATAGTTTTACAGCTATGTCCTGGACAAGATTTTTCTAAAAGGGGAGATAATTAAACAAGAGCTGTCCGTAAGACAGCGCGCTCGACTTTTTTATTGCTTGCCAATAAAAAAAGTTTTTGCAGTAAAAGGCAATACAAGAATCTCTGTATTTTTAAAGTGAACAATGGCCATGAGCATTAAGATATTTAGTGAAGAATTATTTTACTGAATTGTGTGATACCCTTGAACACTGCAGCAAAGTTTGAAATGTTTAAGTCAAAAGAGGGCTGGTAAGAAAGAAAAAAAAACTAGTTGTTTGATACCCTTGAATATTACAGCAATGTTTATATGACATAATTTATGGTAAAGTGAACAAGTGGATAGGAATGAATTTTTTTAGATTTTTTAAGTTTTTTAGTGCTTGCCTATAATACAAAACATTGACAGTTAAGGGCCATAATTCAAATAAAATCTTTGACAGAATTACCTTCTCCTGGACATGTTTGGGAATCATGATTGTAAACAAGTATTCCAACTTTCAAATAAATATCTCAAACAGTTCAGTCAAAAAGTGGACTGGTACTAAAAACTTAACCAAGATTCTAAGTCGATAAAAGGCCTTAATTTTTAAAACAAATCCTTGACAGAGTTACCTTCTCTTGCGTACAGATGGGGGTAATGATGTGAAATAGCATTAAAAGTTTCAAAGCAATATCTCAAAGGGTTAAGGCAATAAGTGGATTTTACCCATATTCAATGTATTTTCTAAGTCAAAAAGGGGCATAATTCTGTCAAAAACCTTGACAGAGTTATGTCCTCTTGTCTGTTGATGAAGGTCGTGATGGTAAACAAGTATGGTCAGTTTCAAAGCAATACCTCCAATGGTTTTGAAATAAAGTGAGGTGGTACAAAAAACTTAACCAAGCTCAATACACTTTCTAAGTCAAAAAAGGGCCATAATTCTGTCAAAAACCTTGACAGAGTTATGTACTCTTGTCTGTAGATGGAGGTTATGATGGTGAACAAGTATGGTAAGTTTCAAAGCCATACTTGTAATACTTCTGAAATAAAGTGGGGTGGTACGAAAAACTTAACCAAGGTGTGACGCCAACGCCGACGCCGGGGCGAGTAGGATAGCTCCCCTTTTCATAGAAAAGTCGAGCTAAAAATGAGGCTTAACAGAGTTATGGTTCCTTTGCACTGCACCTCTACTCAATGAGATTTATCTACCTACAATGTTTCATCTTGATACAATATAGTCTTATAGTTTTAGCTTTATGTTCCGGTGTTAAAATTAACAAAGGGCAATAACTCCAAAATTAGGATAAAAAGAGATATTGTTCTTATGCACTGCACATCTACCCCTTGAAATCTATTCACCTACAAAGTTTCATGTTGATATCTCTTATAGTTTTAGAGGTATGCCCCAGAGAAGATTTTTCTATAAGGGAAGATAATTCAAAAACCGGGCAAAATAGAGTTATGGTTCTTTGACACTGCATTCCCCCTCAATGCCCTCTACCACTGTATGGAGTTTCAACAAATTATCTCCAAGGGTTTTCAAGTTATGCTCCGGACAAGACAACGGACAGACAGACGGACGTACTCACAAAATGGTACTTATGTGACTTTTCCTTTGATCTTTTTGGCCATTTTTAGTCACACAAGGCTTAAAAAAAGACACACAAGTAAAAAGGGAATGAATAGGATCAAAGTTTAAAACATTACGGATAAAAATAGCGGAAAAAGAATGAAGCAATGCCTTTTTAAGTTATTTTGAATTCAATTCAATAACATTGATATATATATATATCAATAATATTAAAGCTTATAATATTATTATGTCCTTTTAAAACGTTATAAGAGTAACCTCCCTTTACACTGTTTTTACGTCGTTACCATGCGACGTTATTAACGTCATTATCTTACAGGTGAAACCGGTTGATATTTCTCTTCAATTATTATTACAGCTTTGTTAATAAACAATTGCAATGTAAACTGGAAAAGGCATCGCTTCATTCTTATTTCCCGCTATATAAAATTACAGTCTATGCGAAAGTCAATTTTTTTTTCAGGCCACAAGGACCGAGACCCTTAGGTTTATTTCCGGCCCGGATGATATTTTTCCTGCCCAGACATTTCAAGCATTATTTTATAATAACTCGGTTGAATGTAAAAATGATTGTCTTTCTTTAAATTAGTGAGACTATCAATATAGAAACATAAGAAGATGCTGACCAATTGAAATAACTTAAGCAGGGTTCTCACTAGGTTTTTAAAAAGAGGAGTCCTTGGACTCCCAAGCACAGAAAAAGCTTTTTATTCAGGAAAATGGTAGTATGTCCTAAATGGAAAACATTGAACCATAAAAGTGATTGAAAAGATTTGAAATATAATTTCAAAAACCCTACATCATCAGACCATTATGCTGTTATGCTGTTTTCTTCCAGATTCACTCCACACACCCCCCTCCCGTCAGAAAATATTCATTGTATGTGACAAACACATATACTGGTAAATACCTCCATCTCAACTAATGTGAACAATATATTTAGTAATTTTAATTCTTAAACTACATTTAAGTGTTATTACACACATTTTAACAAAACAAAGTTTCCTTTTAGTTACGATTTTTTAATGATAAAAAGCGGCATCGCGAAAATATGTGACAATTGAAAATTTGTCTGTTTCCTGCAGAAACATTCACAATTCTACTTGTTGTTGATTTTAATTATATTAGATTAAATATTTTTTGATTATTTTAAGATTGTTACTCATCGGCTATTTCAAAAGGCATCATAAAACAAAATTTTCAAATCTGTAATTTACGGCAAAATTTACCGTTGTTGATGAAACTTTTTGAAGACAGAGCTGACTGGTAGGGCCTATTTATTTGACAGGTACAAAATAGATCTAAGGTTGGTCAATATCTTCTTTAATAAATTCTTTGCATCACCGGGTACTTTTTATCAATCATGTCATTGATATTTTTGACTTTTTGAAAATTTTATTCGGACATGAGGACTGACGGAAAGGAATTTTTCTCGGACCGCATGATTTTTATTCAGCCAGGACCGAGGACCGACGGACTTTCGCACAGACTGAAATTATATATATAGATCTATATATATATTTCTCTCATTTCTTTTATTCCCCCAACCCCACTATAATAACTAAATTAATTAAACTGAATTTGAGCCTCGTCATAACAAAACCAACATAATGGGTTTGCAACTAGTATGGATCCAGACCAGCCTGCGCATCTGCGCAGTCTGATCAGGATCCATGCTGTTCGCTATCAGTTACTTATTTGTAATAGGGTTGGTAAGCGAACAGCATGGATCCTGATCAGACTGCACGGATGCGCAGGGTGGTCTGGATCTATGCAGGTCACAAACCCATTATGTTGGTTTTGTCGTGACGCGGCTCATTTATTTGTTTAATTTTTACAATCATATTGTATTATTGTTTAAACAATGGTAGTCATTAATGCAATAGCATATAAAACAAAACACATAAAAAAACCTACATTACACATAATGCCTAGCACTTTGTTTGCATAATGTTCCCACTCCTATGGGCCTGGACTCCTTTTCCGCCAAAAAAAGAGATAACCTCCAATGCATTGATGATCATAATTTTGGATGTGTTGTACTACATTCTTTCCTTGTCCTTTATAAGTTCAATGTTACTTGTGTCACAAACCACTACATTGTACATATGTGTACAAGTGTAAGGCTGGTCATTTATCAATTACATGTTCATGTACAAAGACACCAAAATTTACTATATCATAATTATAATGTAAGTTATATAATGTAATTTCTACATTACATCTGAATTAATATAATTACCCAGCGATTTTCCTGCTTATAAAAAAGACTCTGATAAAAGGTCTCTTTCATATTGAAATTTTCTTTAAAATCATGCTGTTTTCCCAAAAATCTGAACTTAAACCTGCTTTTTTTACTTCCCAAAGTAGCAATTTTAGCGATGATTTTTCCCAAAATCAAGCGGCTAAAGCCTCTTCCCCATTAAGTGAGAAAAATCACTGTTACCATTACCTATTTCGTTCTTTGTTGACCCCAAATAATTTTGGATAGATTGTAACTGGTGGGTTACCATCTCTTGCGGCAGTAGCTACATCATCATAACTTAGTGTAACAACCATCTCCCCAGTCTTGTTCAGTACTAAAACAGAACTGTAAACATAAACAATAAATTGCTGATTTATTTTTTACAACACTTGGTTAACAAGAATTCCTGAAGAAAGTTTTTTTTCCTCATTTTTGGTAGCTTTTAGGAATGAGATTAAGCAACAGTGATGAGGGGTTCACAAAATCATTGGTTTTAACATATATCTGTCAATTCAAAATAAAAATCTTAGCTAAAAGCATATAGTGGTAAACATGTGTACTGTACAGAAATAAGCAAGTAATCAGAAAATAAGAAATTTATCTTAACCATTTTCTTCCATATATAAATATACAGATGTCATCAATTAACAAAATTTAACAAATTAAGAAGCATTGTACATGTTATTCTATAATTATGTCTATTCACACACATTTATTAAGGAAAAGATCTTCACAATTTAGTCTAATCATTTAAGATGAAAGCAGACTTTTCCCCTAATATCCATCAAATATTAAAACAACAGGGCCAAGATGGCTGTAGATCGCTCACTTAACCCATCAAACTCATCCAAGCAAATTACCTAGACAAGCATCCTGACCAAGTTTGATGACAATTGAGTCTAAAATGTGACCACTAGTGTCAACAAGATTTTTCTATTTTTAGCTCCTGTGACCTAGTTTTTCATCCGAGATGACCCATGTTCAAACTCATTCTAGCAATTATCTAGACCAAGTTTGATGATGATTGAGTCAAAAATGTGACCTTCAGAACGTTTACAATGTTTTTCCATATTTGGGCAACATGACCTAGCTTTTGACCCCAGATGACCCATATTCAAACTTGACCTAATAATCATCAAAACAAACTTTCAAACCAATTCCAGGATATTTGGATCAAAACACTAGCCAATCGAGTGTTAACAAGATTTTTCTATTTTTAGCTCCTGTGACCTAGTTTTTCATCTGAGATGACCCATGTTCGAACTCATCTGAGCAATTTCCTAGACAAGCATCCTGACAAATTTTGATGATGATTGAGGCAAAAACGTGACCGCTAGAGCGTTAACGACCAAGTGTGGACGGAAGACAAACAACCGATGACAGACATTCAAAGAGCCTAAAAGCTCACCCAGTTACTCTTATAACTTTTTAAAGGGACATAATAATAAGCTTAATAATATCATTGTTATATATATATATCAAAGTTATTGAATTGAATTCAAAATTACTTATAAAGGCATCGCTTCATTCTTTTTTTCCTACTATTTTCATCCCTTTATCCAAGATATTGTTGTAAAACTTAAAACTTTACATTTTGGATATACATACTCATACTCAAAGCCACCTATTAAACTGAAAAAAGTTGATCTTAATATCTTACCCAGAGTAAGACACCATCAAATATTCTTCTTCTGTGTAGTTATTTCTTACTTGTTCTTGCATCACAATGCAGGAGGTGTAATGCTTAATACTGCAGTCCAAAAATGAAGTCTTGCTCTCAGTGTTCACAATCTGCAACAAACATGATAAATGTTTTGGAAATTTCATTTAGTTACAAAATTTAAGTAGTTTTGAACATTCCTTTGTGTTATTATTGTACTATAAGTGCAATCTAAGACTTAAATTTCTAAAGTATCATTATCTTGGAAATTGTTAGAGTTTAGTACCCAACTCTGTCACAATCTGTGTTTACTGGTATAGACCCAATCAGTTATTCATGGAAGCAGAAACAACAGTGGTTCAAATAAACTTCCAATGTTTACCACAATCAAGCTAAAATAAATATGATGAATCTTTGCCATACTGGTTAGCCTGTATCTATGTGTCGTTTGACCAGGCTCAATAGTGGTGGCTGACCAAAATCAAATTATAAATTTGACATCCCTAAAATTGATAGTGGTCTGTTCCAAACGTAAAAGCTGGACAAGTTTATTTAAGAAATTCAGCAGGATAATAATAAGCTACAAAATGCCGAGTCTAGAAACTTTACAAACTTTACATGACATTATTTACCTTCAAAAAGTTTATACAACATTTAGATGTGCAATTTCACATCTGAGATTTGGAAGCAGAAAATACAGATGTGGATAATGATCCAAGAATATGGTTGTATTGTATGCCACACAAATCTTATTGAAGATGAAATTTTATATTGCCCAACTAGTGTCCTGAATTTACAATGCTACAAAAAACTATTGATATGTCAAGCAATTTATTTAGTAATTTGACACTGACTATAATCAACCATAATATTATCAGTCTGTAGGTTACTGCGCTTGACTATTCTCAGCCCATTGACAGTAAGAAAAGGGACACAACTCTGTTAAAACATAACTCATGCATGCCAAATTTGTTACACAATGACAGAAATTAAGTGTGAGAAGTTTCAACCTATAAACTGTAGTAATTCTGAAAATACTAAATTGCATGCAAACACTTTACAAAAGTGTGACAGCTACATCAACACTGACATTCAGGGTGAAAACAATAGCTCTCCCATTTCTTTGAGAAGTCAAGATTAATTTTTATAAATGTATTTGTGTAAAGGTGACAATAAAAAGTATAATATACAACTCATCTATATAAATGATCTATATTCATTTTGCTTTTCTAGAATTTCAACTTCTTTTATGTAAAATACCAGTATGAATATGTCCATTATTGTTGATCAATTTTGTGAAAAATAAATATGAGCAACTGATTATATTCTACTCAAAAATTGTATATCCTTTCAATGATTATAGCGTAATAAAACGTAAATGCAAAGGTGTCACATATGACTGCCATAAATTCCATATACATGTTTTAAATTTGGACGTCATATACAATGGCATATTATACAGGATGTCACATATTCAATGTCAATGATGACTTTTTACACAGCTATGTCAATTAAAGAGTGTCCATGCAACTTTGACAATTTCAAACATTTGATTTCTACCCTGCAGACTTATGTCACATGGTGTGTGTCATCTGGCAAAATATGATGTTGTTTTTTTTGAAGTTATATATTCAATGTATAAAACAGAGATAGAATTATGCAATGAACAGGACAGTCATTTCATGGATCACTACTTCAGCTTATTTGTGTTTGTTTTCTTTTAAATGCTTGGTGTTTGATTTTGCTATGACTCACTGTACATGATGTAGCATCCTGTAATCACAGGCTCAAACAAATGCATTTTTGTCACAAACTACTTAATCACATTTTGATAAAGCTGAAAGACCCCTGTCCAGTGCCAATGACTTTGAGAAACAATGGTGTGGTGGTTCTTTGTAATGTTATTTCAATCTACCTGTATAAATTTATAAACACAGAACACTTTTATCAACAATTTCCTTTTGTTTTAGGATACAGTTTTTTACTTCATTTAACATATAAAGGCACTTATTTACAGAAGGTGTTACTAGATATAAATACACATTATATATATATATATATATATCGACCCCCCCCCCCCCCTAAAAAAAAAAAAAAAAAAAAAAAAAAAACAAAAAAAACAAAAAACATAAATGTACAAATGTACATCTTAGAAAATATTGCAATTTACAAAAACAAGAGAAATTTTATGACAAATGCCATGATTGGTTAATCAACTTTCTTCATTAAAAAAAAAACAAAAAAAACAAAACAAACAAACAAACTTACAACAAACCAAACAGAATCAACAACTCCTTTGACTTGCAAGAGAACAGCTTTTCCAAAGACATAAGGCTCACACATAAGTTCCCAATTTAAATATCCAATACAAGCAGGAGTGTCTAGATATGACAGTAACGATCTTTTTGGCATCTGAATTTTTCCACTCTTGTCCCTCTTTGCATTCTCCGCTTTCTTCAGAGCATCATAATATTTCCATACAGCATTTGAAATAACCTTCATAAAATTATATACATGGAAACATTAAGGGTACTATTGCATTTACGAATTGAATATTACAATAGAAAGATTTTATTAAAAAATACAATGTGTGTCTAATGCTTTTTAGAACATTGGTTTTCAATCCCAATCAAAAACAAGTGCTCCCCTGACCCATCAACCACATCCGAGCCATGTCTAAGACAAGCATCCTGACCGAGTTTGTTGACAATTGAGTCCAAAATGTGACCTCTAGTGTGTTAACAAGGTTTTTCCATATTTGGGCAGTGTGACCTAGCTATTGACCCCAGGTGACCCATATTCAAACTTGACCTAAAAATCATCAAAAGAAACCTGCAAACCAATTTCAAGGATATTTGGATAACAACAGTAGCCACTAAAGAGTTCACAAGATTTTCTATTTTTAGCTCCTGTATCAGAGATACCCATATTCCAACTCTTCCAAGCAATTAACTAGATAAGCATTCTGACCAAGTTTGATGGGAATTGAGTCAAATGTTACCATTAGAGTATCAACAAGATTTTTCCATATTTGTGCAGTGTGACCTAGTTTTTGACCCCAGGTGATCTATAATCAAACTTGACCTAGAAATCATCAAAACAACCTTTCTGATCAATTTCCAGGATATCCTGTTAACAATATTTTTCTATTTTAGCCCCTGTGACCGAGTTTTTGACCGGAGATGACCCATATTCAAACTTGATCTAGAAAACATCAAAACAATCTTCCTGACAAATTTCCAAAATATTTGGATCAAGAGTGGTAACAAGATTTTTCTTTTTTTAACTCCTGTGCGGAGATTACCCATATTTGAACTTGACCTAGAAATCATCAAAACAACCACCCTGACCAATTTCTAGGATACTTGGATCAAAACTGCAGCCACTAGGGTGTTAACAAGATTTTATTATTTTTAGTCCCTGTGACCTCCTTTTTCACAATACACAATCTATATTCAAACATGACCTAAAAATCATCAGAACAACCTTCCTGGCAAATTTCCAAAATATTTGGATCAAAACTGCAGCCACTAGAGTGTTAAGATTTTTCTATTATTAGCTCCTGTGACTTAGTTTTTGACTGGAGATGACCCATATTCAAATCTAGCCTAGATATCATCAAACAACCTTCTTGGCCAATTTACAGGATACTTAGATAAAAACTGCAGCCACTAGAGCGTTAACAAGATTTTACTATTTTTAGCCTCAGTGACATTGTTTTTGACCAGAGACAACCCATTGTCGAACTTGACCTAGAAATCATAAAAACAACCTTCATGACAAATTTCAAAAATATTAAAAAACTGTAGCCATTGGAGTGTTAACAAGATTTTCCTATTTTTAGCACCTGTAACCTAGTTTTTGACGGGAGATGACCCATACTAATACTTGACCTAAAAAGCATAAAAACCTTCCTTACCAATATTCAGGATATTTGGATCAAAACTGCAGCTAGCAGAGTAGAGTGTTAATGAGATCTTTCTATTTTAAGCTCCTGTGACCTAGTTTTCGACCAGAGATGACGCGACATATTCAAACTTGCGCCTAGAAATCATTCAAAACAACTGCTTCCTAACAAATTTCCAAATAATCAGTGATTACTGGCAGCCCATTAGAAGCATTAACAAAGATTTTCTAACTTTTAGCTCCTATGACCTAGGTTTTTTGAGCGCAGAGATGACGCCATTATCGAACTTGACCTAAAATCATGCGAAACAGACCATCAGAAAATTTCAAGGGAAACTTTGATTAAAACGCAGGCCACTAGACCTGTAACCAAGATCTTTCTATTTATTCTGTTGACCTATTTTGACCTGAGATGACCGCATCTTCAAAACTGTCAGTCTTTCAATTTTGAGGCAAAAAACCCCCCATTCTGACAAAGTTTAGATGATGAATCAAAATCAAACTCTGACTGCTTGAGTGTTAACAACCCAATTATTGATGATGAATGATGCACGATGACGGACATAGCCCCATCACTATACCTCACCTTGACCACTTAATGGTCAGGTGAGTTAACAACAGACATTTCAGGGAAAAAAATAAACAAAAATTTAAAGAATAATTTGTAATTATTGAGAATCTGTTTTTAATTATTTTTTTTACGATAGTGAAAAAATAATGTTTATCTGCATTTCAGTCACAGTATGTCAAAAGTCCATTAACATTTTTTTTTAGACCAACAAAACTAACAAGTGAAACCAATAGTCAAATGATTATGGTGTCTGTTACTTAATCCAGGCCCCGCGTTCACAAAGAAATGATCAGGATCAGGATCAGGTGATCCTGATTTTATTTTCATTGTCTTATAAAACCAAAATTGATTGTATTATGCTAGAATTAAATGGAACAAATTCGATTTCTAAATAATTGCTTATTTGCAAAGAAACCAACTCAAAAATAAATGGATCAATTTTAGGATCAAGAACAAAATTTGGATCAACTGTAAAATGCCCATTTCTTGTAAAAATATCAATAAATTTATTCAAAAAATTTCATAAACATGCAATTTTAAGTCCAGTTTTATCAATTTAATATTGAATATTTAATCTATGATCTTGATCCTTTGTGAACACAGGGCCAGGAATAAACAATTCCAGTCCTACTTGCGTCACAACTATATTTCTATGTATGACAGCAATACAAGACAGTTAAATAAAACAGATTTAAATTGTTAAATAAAAGTTATAAGTAAAGTCTACCTTAGCCAAATATGTTTAAACTTATCAAAAGAATATAAAAAGTAACTTTACATTTTCAGTTATTGTAATGTTTCTTTCTGCTGCAATATCCAGGAATTCAAAACACTTCATATAAACAGGCATGCTAAAACCCATGGTATTTATGTATGTTTTCTGTCTAGCTTGTATCTCCATCTTAACTTTCTGCAATAACAGGAAAAATATGATGGTCATTTAATTGCTCACTTCAGTGAAGACTGCAACTTCTTAATTAAATGAAAGCCCAACTAAGGCAAAATAGAATCAAAGCATAGAAGGCGCTGAATTTGTTTGGGTCTCCGAATGTCAGAAACGTGAAGGTTGTGAGATTATAAAACAATTTCTTTTTGTATAGTGCCACCAATGCTTTCCAGCGTTTTAATTGTAGTAGATATTCGATCCAATGTTTATTTGATTTAAACAATTTGAAAAAAAATGAGTTGCCCTAACTGGGATTTGAACTCCAGACCTCTTGCTTCTAAGCGAGCGTGCAAACCTCTCGGCCACGGTGAATTTACATGGTAAAGGCTTGCAGAAAAACCATATTATTCTAAGTTAGGGTTTTGTTAACGACGCTAACTGTTGATTAACACTTGTGAAAATAATCATGGCGGCTTAGCTATATAGCATGTATATCTATAGAAGAATAAAACAATATTAGAAATCTTGCGACCATTCGGGAATTACTTTGCTTGAAAATTAATCCGCCTGTCATATGACCATATTTACGCAGTGATCTCCCCTAAATTTTTAGGCCTAAGTGTTACATATAAAGGGAAGTAACCGCTTCATAAAAGAAACTACTTTCGGCACTTGCAATTAACAGCATTAGAGTCTGAAATTTTGCTACCATTATTTGTTTGGTCTGACGACCCAAACAAATAAAAATTACATTAAACCCCATAAGTGTCTTAATGACCTGAACTAGTGGTATCAAATCCACTCCCCCAACCCAAGGATGGAGGTCCATATGCATTGGAATGAAAATACATGCTAAACATTTCACGTATCAGTCAAGCAAGATTGCAGTGGCATAGAAAGCACTTAAAAAAGGACAAGTTTGAATTTAATACCTTTTATTTATTTTTAGAAAAAGGCAAATATTTTGTATCAGAAAAGGGAAATAATCAAGCAAAAATATCTTTCATTCTTATCTGCCCCTTAGAAACTCATTTCAAATTTGATAGCCAATAAGTACTACAAGTTTTAAGTTGATATCTTTATTAGATTTTGAGAAATATACATTTCTCAAAGGTTAACCAAGACATTCAAAGTGAAAAAGGGGGCAAAATTGAGCAAAATAAACAATATGGTTACCTGCCCTTTAGAAATGCATTTTCATACATGGGTAAGTTTTCCATATGAAAGTATATTTAGAAAAAAAAATCAGAAGCATTATCTATTACATTTTACAAACCTCTTTAATTTTGTTTTTTAGCAGTGCATGCATGTTAAGTTTCGCCACTTGACCATCTGGACTTGTCCAATGTAGGATAAAAGAACATGGTGGACCATTTGCTCTATTCAAGTAAGGGTTCCTAAGACTAGTTTGAGTATTGCAGAGTTTAAGCATATGACAGTAGTACGCATCCATTGCCAGAATATATCAAGCCTGTATGTCGGCTACTAGTAGGTCACTGTAAACAATTCATATATATAATATATATATAATATACATGTATATGAAAGAAAGCGCATGAGCAGGAAATAATACAACAGAAAGAAAAAAAAATTACTTGAGAGAATCCAGCATTCCGTATCAAGACTCTTACAGCCATGTGTCCTCTTGGATTATTCCCCTCAGTTTTCTAAACAACTACAGAACCACATATTCCGTGCTAACTAATGCCTTATATTATACGAGGGTTGTCCCAAAAGTCCGTGACAAATTTTGATAGGCCTTTTCATTTTTAATCACCAATAGAGAAAATAATTCACCACATATAACCGTTCAGTTTATTATTTAACATTACAGACAAATCATTTTACAAAAATATTACGCGCTAGTTACTTTTTTTAGAAAGTTTTCAGTATTAACGACATTAGGTTTGAGTTGCCGGCAGCACGTCAAAATAATTTACCATTTTGTTATGAATAGGCTGAACATTAATTACGTATATTTCAAATATCTGATGATGTGTCTGCACAATGTCACGTTGACTTCCTCTGCTGCTATGTTTAAATAACTTAAAAAACGAAAAAGATACGAATAAATGAAAATATCTCATATAAAATAGTAAAGTTAAAATGGCAACGTTCGAAGAATTTGCGGCGCAGTGAACATGTCACTCAGGTTTCATGACTATTTCAAGATGACACATGTAACGATTTTCAACAAATATACCAAATATAACAGTTTAGCAACATATTTGAGGCATATTGTGTACAAAAGGCATGAAACGGAATCAGAGTTTTGCATTACATAAAAGCGAAAATGAAGGAAACCACAGGATACGGAAGAAAGATCTTTGTTGCTATTTCATACAGCTAAAAACAGGAGTAGAGGAGATCCGGAAGTTCGCGTATAGCAAAAATTAATGTATGCCATCCAAACATTCAACAGACATTAACAACCACATGATTTAAATCAGAAATTGACGATTTATGGGTACCGTTATTGCGTTGAAAGCCATTCAGAGTATTTGAGAAAGGCGCCTTATATAGATTTAACGCCGTCTTTGACGTTGGACGTGCGCCGCGATTCAGTTAGTTGCCATGGTGTTTATAGCATATTTTTGTTGTTTGTTGATATTTATCTATAAAAATTTGTGAAAATGTTTAAATTATATAGGTTTTTAACATATTAAAATATCTGTACCTGTTTTATTAAGCTTTTAAACAATCTTTTCACAGAATATTGGGACAACCCTCGTATATTCTCAACGTTCTGCAACTACCAGCTTTTTTAATGAAAAGTTATTAAAACTGTACATGTACTACTTTTGACAAAATTACCTTTTAACATGTCTTTAGGAGTCACTATATTAACATTTATGGTCAAATTTGCATGTACAAGATAGTAAATATCTTTCATTTTCGGAATCTTTTTGTAAATATGGGACCTATACTAGGCCAAAACTGTATATAGTTTATCAGCAATTTCTATTTTTAGTTATTTTATTAGGTTTATTTAACTGTCTGATTTAATAGCTGACATTTGTTTGACAAAATTCTGAAAGTATAATACGGTACGAGTGTAAATGCAAAACATATTTGTTTTTAAGGTATTTGGTATAATAACTTAAATCTTTACATAATCTTGACATGAGTTAGCATATCAGGATTTACAATGAACTAGAACTATCGCTGAATGCGATTCATACCCCCACCAATGTCCTTGACAGAAGAGGACTTGGAAAGGTGGTTAAGGGAATAACTTAAGTGGCACAAATACATAAAAAGAAATTATCTCTGGTGAAAAAAAGACTAATTGTACAGGTAATAGTATAAATATATATTATTAAATCATGTTCGAAACAGTTACAATAACTTTTCATTTTCCCAATGTACTAAACATTTTCTAAGTCAATTTTGGACCTTCAAGTGTGGCCTTGACCTTAAGCTGGCACAAGGGTAAGATGGGTTTTGCACATCGCTTAGTTGGGGTGAACATTTGAGTAAAGTTTGAAGAAAATCCTTCCATTAGTATAGAATTTATAGAGCAGACACAACATATTGTCTAGTATTGATTGTATGTAAATTTAAAGACTTAAAAAGGGGCATAACTTTGTCAAAATGCAATACAGAGTTATGAAACTTGACCTGCATATCTTAATTGTGACACTTCATATATTTTTTTAAGTTTCAAGCATATAGTACCTGTGCTAGTTTCAGAAATATTCAAGTACATGTTAAAATTTAAGAACATTTTCTAAGTCAATAATTGACTTTCAAGTGTGACCTTGACCTTTAGCTGGTACAAAGGTGATATGGATTCTGCACATAACCTTGCTGAGGTGAACATTTGAGTAAAGTTTGAAGAAAATTCTTCCATTAGTATAGGATTTATAGAGGGGACACAACATATTGTCTAATATTTGATTGTATGTAAATTTGAAGACTTAAAAAGGGGCATAACTTTGTTAATATGCAATACAGAGTTATGAAACTTGACCAGCATATCATAATTGTCACACTTCATATATATTTTAAGTTTCAAGCAAATACCTTTTCTAGATTCAGAAATATTCAAATAAATGTTAAAATTTAAGAATATTTTCTAAGTCAATTTTTGACCTTCAAGTGTGACCTTGACCTTAAGCTGGCAAAAGAGTGACATGGGTTCTGCACATTACCTTGTTGAGGTGAACATTTGAGCCAAGATTGAAGAAAAATCTTTCCATTAGTGTAGGACTTACAGATTGGACACGACATACTGTGTAATATTTGATTGTTTGATATTTGACCTTCAATTGTGACCTTGACCTCGAGCTGACACATGGGCAACATGGGTTCTGCAAATTCCCTTGTTGAGGTGAACATTTGAGCCAAGTTTGAAGAAAATCCTTCCATTAGTGTAGGACTTACAGAGCGAACACGACATATTGTGTAATATTTGATTGTTTGATATTTGACCTTCAATTGTGACCTTGACCTTAAACTGACACATGGGCAACATGGGTTCTGCACATCCCCTTGTTGAGGTGAACATCATCCCCTTGTTGAGGTGAACATTTGAGCCAAGTTTGAAGAAAATCTTTCAATTAGTGTAGGACTTACAGAGTGGATACGACATACTGTTTAATATTTGATTGTGTTTGATATTCGACCTTCAATTGTGACCTTGACCTTGAGCTGACACATAGGCAACATGAGTTCTGCACATCCCCTCATTGAGGTGAACATTTGAGCAAAGTTTGAAGAAAATCCTTCCATTGGTATAGGAGTTATAGAGCGGACATGAAAATGGAGACGGACGGACAGACAGACCGACGCAACAATGCAAATCCATTATAGCCACACAAAATGTGGGGGTATAATAATAACCTAGCAATGTACTGCAATGCCTTACATGCATGAAATCCTACATACATGTTAACTTAGCAACAACCTGTATGATAACCAAGCAACAACCTGTATGATAAACTATCAACAACCTGTATGATAACCTAGAAACAACCTGTATGATAACCTAGCAACAAAGGGTATGATAACCTAGAAACAACCTATATGATAACCTAGCAACATAGGGTATGATAAATTAGCAACATACTTTATGAATACATAGCAACAACATACAGAAGGAGCTACCTAAGTGATAACCTAGCAACACATTGTATGATAACCTAGCAACACATTGTATGATAACCTAGCAACACATTGTATGATAACCTAGCAACATTCTGCATAATAAATTAGCAACATAACTTACAACAGTGATAATCAGAAAGATTTAACCAAGCTGATGTCCACATTCCAGTCTGGGATGGTTGATTGTCCATCATCAGATACCTGTGAATACAACAATCAGATAATAAATATAAATTTAATAAATGCTTAGGGTAATATTTTTAACAAAAAGTAACCCTCAAATTTCTTTTAAGTTATGCAAAACATGTTTCTTCCATAGTGTATGTAGCAGAGTCTCTAAGCATTATAGTATGTTTAGTATTTCATTTAAAATCACTTTCTTTTTTGATTTTATCTTTTTGTTTGGTATCTTGCATTTTTAATTTCTCATTTTTATGCCCCCGCCATGTAATGGCCGGGGCATATAGTGTTACCCTGTTCCGTCCTTCCGTCATTCTGTCATTCCGTCATCATCAGTTTCCGTTCATTATCTTAGTAACGGTTGCACACATTCAACTCAAATTTGACATATGGATATGTCATGAGAAAATACAGGTCAAGTTCGAATTTGGTCATGGTTCGATGATTTTTGGCAGAGTTATGCCCCTTTTACTTTAAAATAAAATGAAATTTTCAGTTTCCGTTCATTATCTCCCCAACGGTACAACACATTCAACTCAAACTTGACATATAGATATGTCATGAAAAAATACAGGTCAAGTTCGAATTTGGTCATGGTTCGATGATTTTTGGCAGAGTTATGCCCCTTTCACTTTGAAATAATATGAAATTTTCAGTTTCCGTTCATTATCTCCCCAACGGTACAACACATTCAACTCAAATTTGACATATGGATATATCATGAGAAAATACAGGTCAAGTTTGAATTTGGTCATGGTTTGATGATTTTTGGCAGAGTTATGCCCCTTTCACTTTGAAAATAATATGAAATTTTCAGTTTCTGTTTATTATCTCCCCAACGGTACAACACATTCAACTCAAATTTGACATATGGATATGTTTTTGGAATGCCCAGGCCAAGTTTGAATTTGGTCATGGTTCAATGATTTTTGGCAGAGTAATGCCCCTTTCACTTTGAAAATAATATGAAATTTACAGTTTCTGTTCATTATCTACCCAACAGTGTTACATATTAAACTCAAATTTGACATATGAATATGTCAAAGGAAGGCGCAGGTCAAGTTTAAATTTGGTCATGGTTCGATGATTTTTGGCAGAGTTATGTCCCTTTCACTTTGAAAATAATATAGATACATCTTAGGAATAAGCAGTTTAAGTTTGAAT